TTGTACTGCTGCGTGCTGTCTGGGTTTAGGCTGGGGGGATGGGGGAATAGCAATGGTCTTAAAAGTGTTTTTTAAGGGGGGCTGTGGGGGCTGGGTCGGGGTATGTTCCACAGGGTGAAATGGTCCCGCAGACGGTCTGGTCTGACGTCGAAGTTGCTTTTGTCCTTCTCTCCCTCTGCATCAAATTTGCATGTATCAGAGTTCACAGAGTTTGTGTTTTGTCAGACTCTCTGATTTCAAACGGAGACGTGCAAGTTCAGCTCTAAAAACATACACATTAAAGGCTAAACACAGCTTGAAAAAGTGAAATAAAAAAGTTGAAAATTACTTTGGAAAGATGTTTGTCTTGTCTGTCAAACAAAATGCATCATGTTAAATCTAGCGTATTAGTGCAAATAAACTACACATCAGCTGTAGTTTGCCTTTGCTTATTTTTGTTGCTCTGTTTAAATTTGTGTTAAAGCTGCAGTCCGCAGTTTTTCCTCTTTGTCGCCATCTCTGTTCGAAATCTGCAATTGCAGTTATTCGCGGAAATATCAGCTTTACGTGAGTTGTACTTCGACACGGCACAGCGCGGATGAACACAATGTTTTGAGGAGAGTGTGCAGCTGTCAATCACCGCGCCGGTGTGGATACCGTCATTCAGAATCACAGATTATTCATTTTGGAAGTATGACCAACATAATAATTTTCACCGGAAAATGTCATCTGAACAAGTAAGAAACATTCACTTTTGTTCTGGTTCTGACATTGCAGTAAATCGCACTGATTAAATCTAACAGTCGCTTTTCTTATCACGCAAAACCGTGCAAATTATACTTTGTTCTCAAATTGTTAATGTTCAACATCAGCAAGCATTGCGTGACTACATGTAATGTCCTTCCGATATGTATCCTTGTTTTCGCATGGGTCCGGTTGCAGTCTCTTCTTTTCTGTAGCCACTCCGAAGTCCGAACGAAGTCTTTTGCATTTTACAGCGGGTGAATCTGTTGTCACTGGTGATTGTCGTTTGAACCTTTCTGGATCCGCCATCGAATTGATAAGTTTAATTATATCAAGTGCTGTGAGAAAAGGCTATAAATCTCCACCTCCAGCATCCTCACACACGCAATATAGCCTACTAGCCGAGACTCCTTCTTTATGTGTACAGAATCAGATGTGACGTAATGACGCAAAGACATGCTCGAATCTCCCGCGGAAATCCACCAGTACCACTAGAATTAAAAACATTATTACAAGCTTACCGCTTTGCATCGAGCTAAGGCAACCAGATAGTTTTGAACACTGGCTGGTTATGTATTTTCTCAAATATGTATTTTGAATAATTTTTAACCCAAAAAAAGCTACGGACTGCAGCTTTTAGCAAAACTTTGTATAAGTTCATGTCGAGTTGCATGTAAACATCAAAGAAATCGACCTGATCCTGATTCCTTGTAAGCATTGAGTTGAGGATGATAATGCTCTCTGGGGAAGTGTCAGTGTCATGGTCAAGTCAAGGATGCCTGGGCTGATACAGAAATTGTCCACTACAGCCCACGGCGTCTGTGTTTTTATCCTAGATTAAATCTGCCCAGCGTGGTTCAGCCTGTGTCAGACCCCTCCATCCCTCCAGCTCACCCCCTCAACTCTCTTTCTCTTCCTCACCCCCTCCCTGTTCAAATCTCACCCTGCTCTCTACTCAAGTGACAGCCGGCATGCGGGTGGGGGGGAGAGCAGGCTAGACCCGCCCTCCAGGCTGTGTGTGTGTGTGCATGTCTACGTTTATGTTGGTTGGATGTGCCTCACTGCTGACCTAATTTGCCCTCTGCAGCTCAATCAATAGTCATTCAGTGCTTCCTTTTCACATGAGGTCTGCCCACACAGCAGCAAACACAGGCTCTCTCTCCGCTGAGCACTGGAATGTAATGGAAATGTAAAGGACTGATGGTGGATACAATATTTTCAGACTGATGCAGTTAATGAATGCCAGACCCCACGGAATGATCTCATCGCGAACTTTGCCATTTCTTAAATTATCCTAATTGTTGTTACCTGTTGTATTTCTTTTATCTCAATTAGACTTTTGTGTATGAAAAAAAGCTTTTGAAAGGAGTCACACTCCCATTCAAAAGTTTGAGTTCAATGTTTTGTGCTGTTGTTGTTGTTGTTGATGAAAGACATGAATAAGTTCATTCAGCAAGATGCATTGAATTGATCAGAAGTGACAGTAAAGACTTTTACATCATTTAAAAAAAAATTCTACTTCAATGCTGTTCTTTTGGACTTTTTATTCATTATTTCTTGAGCACCAAATCAGCATATTAGAATGATTTCTGTAGGATCATGTGACACTGAAGACTAGAGTAATGATGCTGAGAATTCAGCTTTGACATCACAGGAAAACATTTTATTGGACTGTCCTGGGTATAATACAAGTAGAATGCTCTTTTATGAAGTTATATCTTACTTATTTAGTAAGATTATGCCTGAAAAGGTTTTGGATTTTTTATCATATGTTAACTTTTTAAAAAATTGTATAATATGACTTATTGTGTTTGTTTGCTTGGTTTTATTGTATTTATATGATGATATTTGTATTTTTGTAATTAAAATTTTGCCATGAAAATAGGCTTAGATGCTGACATGGCATTAAATAAAACAATCTAGGCCTATCTATTGACATCACAGGAATAAATAAAATTTCAAATATATTAAAATCGAAAACAGTTATTTTGAATTGTAATAATATTTGACAATATTACTGTTTTTTGTTGTTTTTTTCGGATCAAACAAATGCAGCCCTGATGAGAATAATAGACCTCTTTCAGAAAAATCTTACCAACCCTAAACATTTGAACGGTAGTGTAAAAATGCTACATTTCCTTAATTGAAATAAAAGGGTTCAATGTTCTATGAAAACAGACTGTAAGATTCAGAACTGTAAAATGTTTTTCAAAATAGTTATTCCTGACTTCAGAAAACTGAATGCAATAACACATGGCCATTGTCACAATGACACTTATTTGGTAACCGCACCATTGTGGTCATAAGGAGGAAGTATGATAGATTATATCATATATTATTCCTAAACACCACTGAGTGTTTTTCACAACTATCACAAGAATAAAAAAGGGGCTTGACCTTGGTTATTGATTCATACATTGCTCAAATATTTTATACAAGCTGTTGTATGAACAGGAGAGTCAGACCTGTCATTAGTGTCTAACACTGACTGAGTGAACGGACGCAGCCATAGAAGTCTTCAAGACACAAGTTAAAAAAAGGCCAGTTTAATTCAAAAGTTGAGAGAGGGAATGATCATGAAAAAACTGTGTAATGACCTGATTTGGGCAAAAACATAAGTGCAGTATAGGAACAAAAAGAGAATGATGTGAAATGTATTATATGACCCATTTTAAAGGGCTCCGTTAAGGAAAGTTCACACCTCTTTCCTCCTTTCTTTTCATGTCTCTGCTTTTATGTAGTGTATAAAGGATGAATAGAGTGTCATGAATGGTATCTGTGCCCTGGATTCCTCAAAGAGTTGCTGACCTAGTGCACAGCCCTCCTCTCTCTCTCAGCACTTTGGCTGCTGTTGCATATTTCAAGCACACAATGTAGCAGTCATGTATAATAGAGTGCTCTGAGAGGTTTCAGCACACCATAGCAGTGCATGTATTACGTTGGTGTATTTAATCTGATCTCGACCGCGAGTGTGCCGTTATAGGAGGCCGCTACACAGATAAGCATCATAAAAATGTTTTGGTCGCAGCCCTTGACTGTAAAGATAAGAACTGGAGGCGTATAGAATGGAGTTAGTGTGAAAATGTGTTTTGATATGATGGTGTGCTCAATTATGTCTGCAAAAGTCCTCTTTGTCTGAGACCGGACCAGTGAATAACTCGCCTCAGACATGAAAAGTTCACTGTGTGTTTTTTCAACATTGCTCAAGGCCTTCCCCACATTATTCTGAAATGATTATGCCTTTTTCCATTTCCACATGGGGCCATCCAAAGAAAAGTCTGAGTTGTATTTGCCTGCAGTTAAAAAGTGAAGCAGGTAAAAATATGATGTGTACAGGAATACATATTTGTGTTGTTTTTCTGTCCGAGTTCATCTCTCCTTTTCCTTCCCTCTCTCTTGTCTCCATTAGCCTTAATGTGTCTTTGACTGGTTGGGCATGCATGTGTGAACTGTGAACTGAAGGAAGTGACTCTGTGTTTACAACTCTGTTGCTGTACTCTGCCCGTGTGAGCCTGTGTTGCAACCATAAAGTGGATTGTTTATGCCTAAATGTTCTTGTTTATTCTTTAAATTTTATTGCTTTATAGATTCTCTTTTCATTCTCTCCATGGGGTGTCTGGATTTTACATCATTATTTTTTTCCTCACGCAATCTGCCTGTGGAGCGAAAGCTCTGCTATGAAAAATTTAAAGCATATTGCTGGGAGAGCCACAGAAGCCTCGGGCTGGCCAGGCAGGCCCGTGCCATTGTCTGGGCCAGGCTTGGTGGGTGTAAAAGTGGGAGGAGGGGGGTCTGACAGACATGCTTTAAAGAGCTTTTGGGATTTGCATTATTTGGCCCGCACTACATATGTGTGTGAGGAGTCTACTGTTGCTTTCATATGGCTTTATGAGATGAAGCTGTTGTTAAACTAGAACACAATCAACCTCCTAAACACACACACACATTGTTCTGAAACACTTTTTTTTTGGGACTTCCTCTTCCTATTTTTTCACCTCATTCACATCACGTGTGATGTGTAACCGAAAGCACCACATTAACAGGAAATTGGGCCACTTTTACTTCATCTGCGGTCTCACATAATACCGTGGCGTTGTCCCTGCAAGCCTTGGAGTAGTGAGTGTTTATATTGTGGTAATTTAGGATTTTACACAATATTTCTGACTTAAGCCATAATAACATTTCAGCTGTATTTCTGCTTTGGATTTTAGAGAATGAGCTGCTGGGATTGTTTCTGCTACAGTGAGCATCATTATTGTCTTCTCTTTTTCTCTCAGATCACTAGATGGTCGGTTGCAAGTATCTCATAGGAAAGGACTCCCTCATGTGATCTACTGTCGTCTGTGGCGCTGGCCTGACCTGCAGTCACATCATGAGCTCAGAGCCGTTGAACTCTGCGAGTTTGCCTTTCACACGAAAAAGGACGAGGTCTGCGTCAATCCCTACCACTACCAGCGGGTCGAGACACCAGGTAATGCACACTGATATTTATGGCTCGTTTCCACCGTACGGTACGGTACATTTGTAACATAGTAAATGTTACTTAGTAATTAGTAATATATGTAGTATATGCACAAGTATATATTGTTCAAGTTGTGAATCAAAACGTGTTTTTTGTTTGGTTATTCAGGTATCATGTTTTTTCTCTTCTTTTTCATTCTTGTTCACTTTCTCTCTCTCTCTCTGAAGTTCTTCCTCCAGTGTTGGTGCCTCGTCATACTGAAATCCCCAGCGAGTTCCCTCCTCTAGATGACTACAGTCACTCCATCCCAGAAAACACCATTTTTCCTGCTGGCATCGAACCCCAGAGCAACTACATACCAGGTAAAAGACAAATACACTCTAGTACGGGAAGTAATGGAGAAGACTCTTGGAAATGAGTTTCATAGTGTTATAAAAACAGAAAAGCCAAACCAAAAAATGTCAACTGGCATTTAAATGAATATGTCTCCATCAGCTGCCACAAAGCGGCACAATCTCAAATGTTTTCCAGGTGTACTAGAGTACATTTAGTCTGTAGCTGTAGTCCCAGTAGGGCTGGGTATCGAGTTCGATACTTTTTAGGCACTGACCGATTTGCCTCGATACCATCGAGTATCAAAAAATCTCTTGTTGTTCGTACCAAATTTCGATACCTAAGGGGTTAATCTCGTCAGTGAGCCAATAACCATGCAGCATGATTGGCTGTGGCAAGGCTACAAGGAAAACACTAGTTTACGCCAGTTACGCCCAGAGATGTTGCTCACACTTGAGGCTGTAGTGTCTCAAACCCCGTAGATGTAAAAGATGTGAAAAAGATCAAAACTGTGGCTATATTTCACCAGGCTCGATGCTAACAGCGTGCGATGCAATATTTGTGACAAGATAATTGCTGCCAACACCGGCAACACGACAAATCTGATGAAGTACTCGACAGTGCACTGAATAAACTTAAGAGCAGAAAGTTGCTCTGTCTTCGACTGCAGGAAGAACTGGAGCACGTCACAAATGAACCGAAACTCTGCGTATAGGCTTTTTGCCTCACAGACATGAGAAATAGGCATATAAAAAGCTTGAAATGTCTAAACAAACCAATTCAAATCGAAAACAAATTGTCTCTGATTATGTAATCCAAATGAAATATGCATTTATCTCTATAGGCGCATGCGTGCGTTCACTATACTGCGGAGATGACGAGTCAGCAACGTCAACTTCATCTTTGCAGCCAACACTGTCTCAGAAAACACTAGTTTATTAATAAACAATTAAAATGTCTCCTTGCTAATTTTTCCAGTGCTTTGCGGCAAGCTTTATGCATGCGCTTGAGCGCGAGGCTTATATTCCTCCTCCCCAGTGGTCTGAATGTCTTTGAGTTTGTAAAAACAGTCAACAAACTGAAAAAAAAAAAGTTTTAACCTTTTTTTTAGGTAATATGTAATGTAATCTTGTTAAAATGATTTCATAAAATTGGTATCGAAAAAAGTATCGTTCAGGAACTAGTGGGCAGTGGGTGGATCACTTTTATTTTAGATGTAGGATGAGCAGAAGAGACCACCAAACACAAAGATAAAGCAACAGTACTGTCCAATCACTACATCGTGTTACAGTGTGTTGATGAAGCACAAAGAATGAACAGTAAATGCATGGAAAAAAAACATGTTCATCCAGAATAAATCTGATTTTTAATCTAAATACAAACATGATATTTCAAGCAGAATTCTTAGTTATTCTTAGTTATAACTAAACTTCTGATGTGCCACAGATCAGTCATAGTAGAGAAGTTTTGCATTTTTGTCTATATGCTCTTTCAAATTTTATGATTGGATGGTTATTTTGATCTAAGCTGCTCTGAAACTTCATAGTTTAAATCCCTTGTTTTAGCAGAGTTGTTGATTGACAGGTTGGTAGTAGGCGGCCATTGTTGACCTGGATACATCAGCATTTACACTATACATATAATGTGGTCACATGTGTTTCTGACCTCCTGTATACTACCATTCAAAAGTTTGGGGTCAATATGATTTAAAAAAAGAAAACAAATTAATAAAAAATATTCAGCAATAATGCATTAAATTGATCAAAAGTGACATTTATATATAAAACATTTATAATGTTACAAAAGATTTCTATTTTAAATCGTTGTTCATTTGAACGTTCTATTAGTCAAAGAATCCTGAATTCCACAAAAATATTAAGCAGCACAAATGATTTCAACATTGATAATAAGAAGAAATGTTTTTTGAGCACCAAATCAGCATATTAGAATGATTTCTAAAGGATCGTGTGACACTGACTGAAGACTGACACCTACTCATGTCCTTAGACACAAGCAAAGAGTACATGTGAAGCTTTAACTGTACACACAAGCAACTCATAAGAGAAAGAGGTGCACAGGTAAACAATCACAGCCATTTAACAATTTACCCGTTAACCCAACCTACAGACCCGTTTTCTTATTTTTTTGACAAATGTCTGCATGAAAAATTGGCTATAGTCCTGTTGCTTATTATATTTGTAGGACTAATCAAAATATGTTTAACCATTTTACAGTTGAACAATATACGCTGAAGTGATTCAAAGACTGCTTTTGTCTACATAAGGGGAAAATTATCCCATGAAGTCTGTATGGAGTGGCTTTGACTGGGATTAGTTTCATCTGAATGGTATTTGCTTTAGAGAGGCAGTCTTTTACTGTAATAGGCCGGTGTGTGTTGTTTTCATATCCTCTGCTGCTGAAACTGAGCTGACCCCAGCTTTCTAAATCGGGTGTCTTAATGTGAAGGGGAAAAATAAAACCCTTGTGAGACATTGTCTCTGCTGCACCTGCTAGATTTTGCCGGATGTGTTTGCTGATGTGCCTAATCCTTCATCCATCAGCTGGCTCACTGTGTTACGGGTGTGTACAATTTGTGTTCATGCGGGCTAACCTTGTGTGTTTGTGTGTGTTACAGAGACGCCCCCTCCAGGCTACATCAGTGAGGATGGAGAGACCAGTGATCATCAGATGAACCGCAGCATGGACACAGGTGACGCCAGTAGTTATACCACCGCATTTGTTGCATTCTTTGATTGGTTGACACATTGAATTTTCTATAACTGCACAGCTATGAAGTAGTTCCAGGTTTGTTTTTTTGGTGGCATTTCAGATGCATATCACTTTTCCAAGTTTCTTTCTGACACTTAATCAGTGGTGTATGAAAGTAGGTCTACACACACCAATATTTAGGGACGAAAATCTGAAAAATGTCTGAAGACAATCACATGATAATTGACTTTGCACTCTTGAATTATTGGAAATGTAATTGTTTTTTAATCAAAATGTGTTTGTCCTATTTACTGTACATTCTTATACCATTAATTATTAATCTGTCCTTTTCTTTTCAGGGTCTCCAAACCTGTCACCGAACCCCGTGTCTCCTGCCCACAACAACTTAGGTAACTGATTGCATGTGTGTGTAGATTTTGGACCACTTTGGACACAAAATGATTGAATTGAATTGCATTGCAAAAACCAATATACAAAACCAAGTGTTATTTGAAAAGATATGATACTAAATCTTTTCACATAACAAACTTCACTTTTCTTTGCCATTTTTGCAGTTATTTTTAATCAAATGGTTTTGATTAGGGTTGTCTTGATATCAGATTTTCACTATAGATTATCGTGGCCAGAAGAATTCGATATTAAAGTTAGAGTGGGCAATTTCGTAAAGGCTAGCAATAGCAAGCTAGCTTTGAAAGCATAAGAACCCACCCTCCCTTCATAGGGTCTCCAAACCTCATTCATCTTTAAATTCATCTTTAATTTTGTTTTGTGTTTTCTCTTTTTTGGCTAATGAATCACACTTGATAAATATCACAGTTATCATCAATACCGGCATATTGCGACACCCTTAGTCTTGATTCAGGGTCTTCCTGACATCCAGTTGCATTAACAGTTCTTCTCCACGATTCAGACACTGATGCGACTCAACGCAACGACAAAAGGAATGATGCTATAGTTGAGTTGTGCTTGCAATCTGATTTGAATGTGAGAGTGAGAGAATATGAGAGTATGGCCACCAAAAAATAATACAAACAATAAATAAACTACATAGCATTCAAATGCAGTGACCTTGCTGTTTTTTTTTTTTGCAGTAACAGAAACTTGCAGTGTATACCAACTTATAAACTAATAACTAATGAATCGGTCAAAACAGTCTTGAAAATGTGTTATTAGCCACCCAGCCAAATTTGAATGATAAAAAAAGTAAATAAAATAAGCTAAAATAATGCTCTCAAACGCGGGGTACTCAAACTAATGACTCAGTCTAATGACTCGCTCGCTAAACGAGTCAGTCGAAGCAGTTCTTACTCACTCATTCAAGTCATTATTTTCCCCATGTCCAGCTCTAAATGAACCAAGAACTGTTACTGTGTTGTGTGCTTAAAGTCCCTGTAAAGTCAAAATTAAGTATTTGTTCTGAGTTTTTCACACCACAGAAAAATGTGTTATTAGCCACCCAGCCAAATTTGAATGATAAAATAAGTAAATAAAATAAGCTAAAATAATCTTGAAAAAATGAGCAGTCTCTGCTCTCAAACGCGGTGGGCGTGTCCGCTGCCTGCGCTGAAACCACGCCCACTCGCGGGAAAGCTGCCGACGGTAATATTAGGTGATACTGCTTTCGGGACGGGAGGATGAAGGCCGAGGCGGGAGATAGTCGTTTCGGCCCATTCACCAGTAACAGCGGATTATCAGTGAATCCCAGTTGTCTCAGACGAAAGTTTATAAATCTATCCCATGTAAAATGATCACTACAGAGGCGGGTGTTGGTGTTGATCCTCAGCTCTCCATCAAGGTGGCTCTTCACAAAATTAATCCACCTCTTCTTGATGTGATCGTTTTTCGGAAAATTAAATAAGGACACCGATCTGTTTTGTACGTGATCGCATCCAGGTAATACGCATTTCTGTGACGAAGGCATAGCTAGCTAGCAAACTGTAGGCTGTAGTAACTAATAGTACTGACAGTAACTCGCGATTGAGCGGCAAACTGATGTGAATGTGCTCTATTGTTAGGGGAGGGGCCAGCCTCAGGGGCTCCAGTGCGTCATCAAGTAGGGGCGTGTCCAGGAGCTCAGGGGCTCCAGTGCATCAAGTAGGGGCGTGTCCAGGAGCTCAGGGGCTCCAGTGCATCATCAAGTAGGGGCGTGTCCAGGAGCTCAGGGGCTCCAGTGCATCATCAAGTAGGGGCGTGTCCAGGAGCTCAGGGGCTCCAGTGCATCAAGTAGGGGCGTGTCCAGGAGCTCAGGGGCTCCAGTGCATCATCAAGTAGGGGCGTGTCCAGGAGCTCAGGGGCTCCAGTGCATCATCAAGTAGGGGCGTGTCCAGGAGCTCAGGGGCTCCAGTGCATCATCAAGTAGGGGCGTGTCCAGGAGCTCAGGGGCTCCAGTGCATCATCAAGTAGGGGCGTGTCCAGGAGCTCAGGGGCTCCAGTGCATTATCAAGTAGGGGCGTGTCCAGGAGCTCAGGGGCTCCAGTGCGTCATCAAGTAGGGGCGTGTCCAGGAGCTCAGGGGCTCCAGTGCATTATCAAGTAGGGGCGTGTCCAGGAGCTCAGGGGCTCCAGTGCGTCATCAAGTAGGGGCGTGTCCAGGAGCTCAAGGGCTCCAGTGCGTTATCGAGCCCCCATTTTAGCCCCGCCCAAAAAATCCTGAACACAGCAATGGTGAAAAACTGTTTAACGGTCTAACTCCACAATTCAGTACTTCAGACTTCACAGTCTTTGTAATATGTTTTAGCAATACATTTCTAACATTTATAATGTGTTTAGATTTTTTTTTTTGGAATTGCCTTTTACAGGGACTTTAAGGACTTGTGAGATCTAAATCAGTGCAAATACTGACTGATTGTTTAAATAACAGTTTGTCATTTAAAAATACACATTTAGAACATTTGAAACACAAATGTGTTTTCAGTCTTTTAGAGGAAATGGATTAAATTGATTATTTGGATGGAAGAAAACCTCCCACTCTAAACATCCTGTCAGTTACCATTTTAGCAAGGGAGGGCCCACGATTCCTTTTGTATCAGATTGTGCTTTTGCAGACACCGCTCAGATCCCACAGCGATTTCTCCTCTCCACAGCAGTGGTGTATGAGTGTGTGTCAGAGAGAACGGCCAGTGCCATGAGCCTGTAATTGTCTATAGATTTGTGTCCAAGTGATGATGGTATTTCCCGATTCAGCCTTTATTTCTGGGAAGTAACATTTGCTCTTGACATCACAGTGCCGTCAGTTCCCAGCCCCCGTGCTCTTTCTCTGTATCCCCACCCATTTGTTTGTTTTCTTTTTCCTGTTTTCTTTTTTTCTTTTTCCTGTTTTCTTTTTTTCTTTCTATTTCTTTTCATTTTCTGTGTATGTCTGTGCCTGTCGGATTCTCTCCTTTTATTGTTTTTTTTCTCTCTTTCTCTCTCAGATCTACAGCCAGTGACATACTGTGAACCAGCGTTCTGGTGCTCTATCTCATACTATGAGCTGAACCAGAGAGTCGGTGAAACGTTCCATGCCTCCCAGCCCTCTTTAACAGTAGACGGCTTCACAGACCCGTCCAACTCTGAGCGCTTCTGCCTGGGCCTGCTGTCCAATGTGAACCGCAACGCTGCTGTGGAGCTCACGCGCAGGCACATTGGTACGCACACATCTGTTTCAATCACTCATTCATAAGACAACATTATTTAATTTAATTTTATAATAAAATAATTGTATTTTTTATTTATGTGGCAACCTTCTATTTTTGCAGGCCGAGGTGTGCGTTTGTACTACATTGGTGGTGAAGTGTTTGCAGAGTGTCTAAGTGACAGCGCCATCTTTGTTCAGAGTCCCAACTGTAACCAACGTTATGGCTGGCACCCCGCCACTGTTTGCAAGATCCCACCTGGTAAGATAAAACGAGAGACCCTCAATAAATAGCCCTCATCAACAGAGTTCAACTGTTAAGTTACTGAATTGCTGTTCTGAAAAGGATGAAACAGCTCCCTTTTTGATAGTTAAAACCTTGTTTTAAACCGCTTTGTTTCCATCCAGGCTGTAATCTGAAGATCTTTAATAACCAGGAGTTTGCAGCTCTGTTGGCCCAGTCTGTGAATCAGGGCTTTGAGGCCGTGTACCAGCTCACCCGCATGTGCACCATTCGCATGAGCTTCGTGAAGGGCTGGGGAGCCGAGTACAGGTACGATTACTGCTATCACTTCACTCTATATCTATCCACGCGCTTGCCACTCCTGGAATGTGGCTTTGATTTGTCTTGCTCTAAGTCTTTTGCATCACTTGTGAAGTGGTGTTACCCAAACCACAGAAGCCACCCATGCTTCCTGTTAAATTCTTTGAATTTGATTGTCGTAATCAGTTTTTTTGTAGAAACGGGATTATGAATATTGAATGACTTAAACACTACTACTACTTATTTTCTTTTACATTTACATTCATTATCTTGATTTAGATTTAAATTAAATAGACCGCAAGAGATGTTAAATATAAAAATTCTGGCCAATACCGATAACTCTCATGTTATGGCTGATAACTGATAAAATCCTGATATTAATATTCTTTTCTATTTTGTCTAAAAAAATAAAACTCAATAAAATCTGTAGTTTAGTTGCTTGTTAATTTAGGTATCACAAATTTTAAATGTACAGTTTAAAAAAAATATATTTATTTAAATATTCAGATGCTAAAGAACATTTAACAGTGTTATTAAAATAAATTTGAAATGCGTGATAAAATAAGTAACTGTTAGATGATGGCAAAGGTGTCTAATTGTAAAAATAGGTGAAGTGAGCATGCACCATTAAAATATTCAGTAGTGGTCGATATAGATCTAATAGGTGTGCACGATATGTTAACATTTCGATCATTAGTCAATAGAGGGTTTGCACTTGACGTCACCGTCGGCCGGAGTGACAGCTGAGTGGCAAAAAGACTGAGTGCCAGCATTGTTTTTCAGCGTGAATGCCTCGAAAAAGACAAAACACATCTAAACTGGGAAAGAGCTGAAAGCTACAGAAAAGGAAAGCAAATGGATCGCTGCAATTCACAGAAACAACTGAACAGGCAGCGAAACGTGGATTTGCAGTTATCATTTTATGTCAATATGTTGAATTTTGGGGTAAAATCATACCATATAGCACACGTACGTCTGCAAGATGTCTGTTAAAGATCACTTCATCTGGAAAGCATCTGCTATTTACTAACATCTGATAGACATCTGTAAGATGTCAGTTTAACATACATTCTAAATCATTACATCTTAAAGACATCTTCTAAACGTCTATTTGACATCTGACAGGAAACGTCCTATAGACGTATTTAGGGCTGCAACTAACGATTATTTTGATAATCGATTAATCTGGCGATTATTTTTTCGATTAACCGATTAATCGGATAAAAATTCAATTCGATTTTTTGTTTATTATGACTAAATAAAACCCGGTTACACTTTATTTTAAGGTGTCCTTGTTACAGTGTAATTATATATTTAAGTACAGAGTAATATTAAGTAACTACATGTACTTACTTTAGGAATAGGGTAGGATTAGGTTGAGGGTTAGTTGCATGTAATTATGCGTAATTTACTGTTATTACTACAGTAAGTACATGTAACATATGTAACAAGGACACCGTAAAATAAAGTGTTACCTAAAACCCTAAATTAGGATATTTATGTGTAAAAGTGTACTTTAAAAAGTGCAAAAGCCACACATTGAGTTTTACAAATATCAATATTTGCATTGTTTTTAATGATAATTGCTGATGGCAAGTTGACAACCATGATTAATGTAAAAAAAAAAAAAAATTATATCCAACATATTGTTTTAACACAATTTTTGTTAAAACAAATGTACAGACATGTTGTTCAGATGTAAAGATATAAACTAAAAACATCTCATACATAATTCATTTAATTTTTATTTAAAATTAATTGAATTATAAGGATAATTTGTAAAAAGAAATATAGAAAGACTGAAGCGTGTGAACAGAGCCGCAGTAGATCGCGTTTGAAAAACAATTAAAACTTAATAGTAGACAAATGCTATATAAAGAGAACGTAATGGAGGTACGCAGCAAGCTAACAGGCTTGATTAAAAAGACAGGAAAAATTATGCATTAGTGCACAAACATTCGCTGAAAACCACTGAGTACAGTGACTAAAAAACAATAATTTACTGCTGCTGTTATTAACTGCCTTTATATTTAGTGCTTCGCTTTGTAAAGACCGTTTTAATTTAATATTTCTGCGGTAGCACTATTTTAATCCATCACTTATGTTGCGAGCGAACTGATTGAGCAACCTGATGCTCGAGACGCAAAATACAGACATCCCAAGTCTCCCGGAAGTTCTGGAAGTCACCCGCATATTGATAGCGGCTCCCTGATGCTCGCAAAAATTTTACTAATTTTAGTTCAAACTCCCGGGATTTGAGCGCGCATGCGAGACAGAAGAGACTGTGCTCCAAACCGTGTAGCGCGAGCGCGCGGCAGAGCAACGGAGGGAGAGAGACCTTGCGTGTGTGTGCGTGTGTGCCTCATGAAGCGTGTGTAAGACAGAGAGCATCCTGATTGGCCTGTTTCAACCAATCACCAGTAAACGCTCCCCGTGACGTAAGCAGACCAACTAATCGATAATGTCATTCGTTGACAACGATTTTCATAATCGATTATTATCGATTTTATCGATTAGTTGTTGCAGCCCTAGACGTATTGCAGATGAGCAAACACTCTAAAAAATACGTCTTCCAGATGTAAACACACACATCAAATAGACGTCTCTGTGATGTACGTGTGCTACACATTTCTCCGTTATTAACGGATCAAACAGCGCTGACGTGGAAACCAGGAAGAAATACTGTGCCATGTATCCAGTGTCCACAGATCAGCAACATTCACCATGGATTTACTGTAGTAACACTACTAACTGTAACCATGGAAGTTTGGCAGGAATAGTAGGCTATATTGCTTTCAAGTAACATCACGTCGGTTTTATTTTGACATTATGAATACAATTGCTGCCCTCAAATGTTAATCTGAACTAAAATAAACCTTTGTTTATAACTACTACAATATTACATTTCATTTTGTCCAAGGAGCTGTTTTGTTTTATATTCTCCTAATAAAAGTCAAGTATAGCTCCATCATTGGTCAAAGTTAAAAAATATCATACTTTATGATGTTAGTTTTAATAAAAATATAATTAAAAAAATTAAATCAAGAAAATTTCTCTGGCATTTCTTTCTTTTTGCTGTATCGGAAACGTACCGAACTGAACCGAACCGTGACACAAGTGTATCGTATCGAACCGAACCGTGAATTTTGTGAACCGTTACACCCCTAATATATATATATACACACATACTGTGTGTGTATATATATATTGGACTTATATATATATATATATATATATATATATATACAACTTTTATATAAGTGATCAACAGGATTTAGACCTAGCTATATTGTATTTATGTAAAGCGTTCACAGGCAAATTTGCTTTATGTATTTCCCCGGAGTCAAAATCAGGCATCTATAAATGTCAGGAAACACGATTCACTGGATCTTTGGTAAGTTGTAAGGAACACTTATATTAAGTCCAACGTTTGTTTAAACTGATAATCATTTGTTTTACTCGCGTTTTCACAGTTTTCCCTATTAAATCCAGTCATGCAGCAGGCTGTTTTGCCACTCAGTCCAGCTGAGGGGGCGTGTTCTGGCAGGGAAGTGATGTCAATGCATACCCTCTATATTAGAGTTTTTTATGTATCTGTATCAGCTGAAAATTGCATAGAATTAAATCATCCATAACAGTTATTTCAGAAAAGCTATCAACTGAAAATAATTATCAGCTTATCAGACAGAATTTTAAAGTGCCTCTATTATGCTATTTTAAAGTTTCCTAATGTTATTTTGGAGTCTCCTACAACATGTTCACATGCATCAAAGGTCAAAAAACTGTTTCATTTTCTCATAATATACATTTGCACATCACCACATTTTCATTGATTCTCAAACGACTCGTCAGATGAATCAATCTCTCCAAATCCCTCCTTTCCGCGAGCTACTCTGCTCTGATTGGCCAGACAGCTCAGTCTGTTGTGATTGGTCTACCGCGTACGCGCGTGTATCGAAAACAAAAACGCCCATTGCCATAACAACGTCAGCTCTGCTTGTCCTGAGGCTTCCTACACCACAAACTAAAGACAGGAACAAACAATGACGTCAATTTTACCATATCAATGCGAGCGCGAGCGCGAGTCCGATAATGAAATATTGGAAGAACTATTCATTAAATCCGAACCTCCATTGCAAGGACGACTCGAGCAGGACGTTTCTCAGTGATACACTACTCAGTTTGAGGTACATTATGAGATGTTTCAACTGTAATTCCTCAGCATCAGCATTAAAGGGGTCATATAATGCCATTTTTGTACAAGCTAATATGATTCTTTAGAGTCTAAATTAAAACTTTGTAATATACTTTAATTAAAAATTCTCATTAGTATTGTAAGAAAACACTTATTTTACCTGGGCAAAAACAGCTCTGTTTTCAGCACGCCGTTTCAGTGCATATGACTTTAAATGATCATGAGCTTTGCTCACCCCGCCTCTCTGTTCTGTGTACACCGTTTGTAACACAATACCATAACGCGTTGTTCATTATAGATGTGGGATTATGAATTATATTGAGAACGTCGTACATAGAAAACATGCCGTAATGTACCCTGAGTGTAAACCTTAGACGCATTCATTGTGAAGCGTGCAGCTAGCGATTTGCAAAGATTAATATAAATATTAAAGATTAATAAAACGATACACTCACTTCAGTTATTTTGGAGGTTCAGCAGGAACACGAATAGTTGGTACTTCTTAGCAAATCCAGCTTTATACTGACCCTCCTCGTTTATAAGCAGTCTGGTGTGTGAAATGATTCGCGCAAATATGAAAGCATTGACGTTGCTCGTGGGGAATATTCCCTTCGAAAACAAACTCAGCCACTGCGTCTTCAGCGGTTTGGATTTAGGAACATTAAAATGACTGCTGTGTTCGTTATTGCACCCAAGAACAGAACACCACAATCGCTTAGACGCCATTCTGCTCATAGACAGTGCTCCAGCATATCAACAATGTCCGCGCCGATCCGCGCGGACTATGATTGACAGGACGAGCGAGGGCGGGTCT